CTACACTTTGACAAGAACACTACAGTGAAAAAGCAAGATTCAAGGTTTCAAGTGGTCAAAATGGCATCAAGCAGTAAGTCATCTTTGTCCTCCACTACGAAGACATCTAAATCTTCAGCCAGTGTAGCTCGAGCTAGAGCCAAAGCAGAGGCTGCCAAGGTAAGAGCATCATATGCAACCCACGAAGCTAAACTCAAACTGGAGAAGGCTGTCAAAGAGGCAGAAAAAGCTAAAAGAGATGCTGAAAGTCAACTGGAAACTGTACAAATTGACACAGAGCTCGAAATGTTAAAGTTTCAAAAAGAGGCTGCTGCAGCAGCAGTTGAAGCTCAAGTCTTAGAACAGGCTGAGGCAGTTCAGGTTTTGGATGAAACTGGGATGTCTGATTCGGACAAAGTGAAAATTGAACGCATTAAAGAGTATGTTCAGGCTCAAATTGTCCTAAAGAATTCGGATCAAGCTTCTCAACAGGATGCTGACTCACATGTTAAGGACCTTCCAAAAGTGACACACAGTATAAAAACAGGGAAAGCTGAAAGTGTTGAACTTCGTGAACCAGAGTTTTCATCCAAACCTCATCTAAAATCTTGCAACGAAAAAGATAGCCAGCCTTTTTATTCTAACTATGTCCCTTTGGCTGCCAGGCCTAGAGAACCAGGAAATAGGATATTGGCGTCTGAGCCGTTAGCAGAGTTTTTGGCCAGGCGAGACCTTGTCAGTTCAGGTCTGTACCAATTTGATGATAAGCCTGAGAATTATCGAGCCTGGTACTCTTCGTTTAACAGTGCAGTTAGTGAGGTTCGGCTCACAGCAACTCAGGAATTAGACCTTATGACTAAATGGCTTGGAAAAGAGTCAAGTGAACAGGTGAAGCGGCTACGTTCAGTTCATGTTGGAGATCCTCAAGTAGCTTTGAACAAAGCATGGGAGAGACTACGTGAGTGTTATGCTGCTCCAGAGATCATTGAAAAGTCTCTGTTTCAAAGACTGGACAGCTTTCCCAAAATCTCAGCTAAGGATAACGTCAGGTTACGAGACCTTGGGGATTTACTGATGGAGATCCAAGGAGCCAAAGAGGATGGATATCTCACCGGACTTGCATACCTGGATACTTCACGTGGAATCAGCCCAATTATTGAAAAACTTCCCTTTGCACTACAAGAGAAATGGATCTCTGCGGGCTCGTGGTATAAAGAACAAAACCAAGGACGCTTCCCTCCCTTTGACTATTTTTCTGATTTTGTGCGCTGTGAAGCGAAGAAGAGAAATGACCCAAGTTTCATGAGTCAAGGAAACACAAACACGTTTGTCAAATCAGAGAGAGGAATTAGTAAGAGTTTCACCTCACACAAGCCAGTTTTGGTTTCAAAAACTGATGTCTCAACCAACGATGATCTCAGCAAGACTTGTCCACTGCACAACAAACCACATCCTCTTAGGAAGTGCAGGACATTCAGAAATAAATCATTCAGTGACAGGATGGCCTTTCTGAAGGAGAAAGGAATTTGTTTTAAGTGTTGCTCCTCTGTCTCACATTTTGCTCGAGATTGTAAAGCCTTCTTAAAGTGTTCTGAGTGCAGCAGTGTAAATCATGATACAGTCATGCATCCTGAGCCATCCGCCAAGCCGGTCAGATTACCTTCACCCCAACAGGACAATGGCGGGGAGGGCGATGGTCAGGTTAATGAGGATATTGTTTCGAACAGTTGTACAGAAGTTTGTGGTCCAAGTGCGTTCGGGCGATCATGTTCAAAAATCTGCCTTGCAAAGGTTTATCCCAGTCATTCCAGGCATATGGCAATTAAAACTTATGTCATCTTGGATGACCAGAGTAATCGCTCCTTAGCTAGACCAGAGTTCTTTGAACAATTTAAAGTAGAGAGCAAACCCTTCACATATCACCTTCGTACATGTTCAGGCATGATTGAAACATCTGGCAAAAGGGCAGAAGGATTTCAGATTGAATCGATGGATGGAAAGGTTCAGATCTCACTCCCACCACTCATCGAATGTCCAGAGATTCCAAATAACCGATCTGAAATTCCGACACCAAGTGCGGTACAACATCAACCTCATCTCTGTCACATGGCAGATCAAATTCCAGAACTGGATCCAGATGCAGAAATCTTACTTCTGCTTGGAAGGGATGTTTTAAGAGCACACAAGGTTAGGCAGCAGGTTAACGGACCACACAACGCCCCTTTTGCTCAACGTTTGGATTTAGGCTGGGTTGTTATTGGAGAAGTTTGTCTTGGGGATGTACATAGGCCAGTGATAAGCACATACAAGACAAATGTGTTGAAAAGTCATCGTCATTCAATTTTTCCACCCTGTACAAGCCACATTCATGTTAAAGAAAGTGATGAAACTCTTAGCAGATTCACCCAACCAGAAACGATGCTTGGGAGCCAAGTATTTGTCCAAACAGAGAATGACAACAAGCCTGGTCCATCTCGGGAAGATACAGTGTTCCTACATATAATGGAAAAGAGCGTTTACAAAGGCGAAAGCAACAACTGGGTTGCTCCCCTTCCATTCAGGGAACCACGTCAACGACTACCTGATAATAAAGAGCAAGCAGTCAAACGGTTTCTATCCCTGCAGCGAACTCTTGAAAGAAAACCTGAAATGCAGAGCCAGTATGTGACCTTTATGGAGAAATATTCACCAATGGACATGCAGAGTTAGCTCCACCGTTGAAAGAAGGGGAAGAGTTGGTACCTCCCTACGTTCGGGGTTTATCATCCACAAAAACCCAACAACATCAGGGTGGTTTTTGATTCCAGTGCCCAGTACTTGGGAATCTCCCTTAATGATGTACTTCTCTCAGGGCCTGATCTTAACAATTCTCTTGTTGGTGTACTGTTACGTTTTAGGAAAGAAAAGATTGCAATAATAGCAGACATCCAACAGATTTTTATTGTTTCCAAGTGTGTGAAGACCACCGCAATTTTCTGCGTTTCTTATGGCACAAAGACAATGACGTCAACAAGGAAGTAGTGGAATATAGAATGAAGGTCCACGTTTTTGGGAACAAGCCATCTCCAGCTGTGGCTATATATGGGCTTCGGAGAGCCATCAGAGAAGGAGCGCAAAGGTTTGGTGCTGATACCGTTGACTTCGTAGAAAGGCATTTTTATGTGGATGACGGTTTAATGTCCGTACCATCTGAGGCTGATGCAATTGACCTTCTGCAACGGACAAAAACCTCACTGGCTGAGTCAAACATTCGCCTACATAAGTTTGTGTCGAACAGTCCATCAGTCACAGAAGCTTTTCCGCCAGAGGACTGTGCGCTGATGACGAAGGACCTCGATCTGGAACAAGAAGCTACACCCACTCAGCGCAGCTTGGGTCTGCTTTGGGAGATTACGACTGACATGTTCACTTTCTCAGCATCTGCTACAAGCAAACCATTCACTCGTCGAGGAGTTCTCTCTACTGTTAACAGCATATTTGACCCCTTGGGGTTACTGGCACCTGTTACCATCTACGGAAGGGCTCTTCTCAGGGAACTTGCAACTGAACCGAATGAATGGGATAGCCCACTACCAGAAGAAAAGCGTCAAAAATGGGAATCCTGGAGGGATTCACTCCAAGACCTGAGGCAGCTTCATGTTCCTCGGATGTACACACAGACATCACTCAGTACAGCTGTAAGTACTGAATTGCATGTGTTCTCGGATGCATCAAATAAGGCCATCGGGGCAGTAGCTTACCTAAGAGCAGTTCAAGAAGAAGGACAAACTGAGGTGGGGTTTGTTATGGCCAAGGCTAAGCTTGCCCCTCAGTCTGAGCCTACAATCCCCAGGCTTGAACTTTGTGCTGCAGTCTTGGCAGTAGAAATGGCAGATCTCATTCAAGAAGAGTTGGATGTGAAAATAGACGAAGTCAAGTTCTATACCGACAGTAAAGTGGTTCTTGGCTACATATGCAATGAGTCCAGACGATTCTATGTCTATGTCCACAATAGAGTGATGCGTATTCACCAGTCCTCAAAGCCAACTCAGTGGAACTATGTGTGCACGGATGAGAACCCAGCTGACCATGCATCACGGTCTGTGCCTCCATCTCAGCTAGCCCAGACTTCGTGGTTCAATGGACCCTCTTTTCTCTATCAATCACCTGAAGACAAACAGTGTGGAGGTGAGAGGTTTGAACTGATTGAACCGGAAAAGGACAGTGAAATCAGACCACAAGTTCAGACCTGTTCTACTGTTCTAGAGAAAGCTGCTCTTTCTACAGATCGCTTCAAGCGGTTTTCATCTTTTAGCTCCCTGTTGAGAGGAGTGGCATATTTGATCCACATGGTAAAATCTTTCAAGCATTCCAACCACAAGATTGAGTGTGTAGGTTGGCATAAATGCAACTTACCCGTTCTACTGAAGAAATAACTCAAGCTAAAAAAACCATCCTAAAAGCAGTGCAAACAGCAACTTTTGCAAAAGAAAGGTCAGCTCTACTGGCTAAGAAAAACGTGTCTGGCAATAGCCCTTTGCAGAAGCTAAGACCAATCTTAGAGGATGACCTGATTTGTGTTGGAGGCAGGCTGAAGTACTCTGAACTGACACCTGCAGAAAAGAATCCTGTAATCCTACCGAAAGATGATCATGTGTCACTCCTTCTAACAAGACATTACCATGAGCAGGTGCAACACCAAGGTCGTCATTTGACTGAAGGAGCCATAAGAGCAGGCGGCTTGTGGATATTGGGAGGCAAGTCTCTTGTAAAATCACTTATCCATAAGTGTATAACTTGTCGTAAAACTACGTGGGAAGATGGCAGAACAACAGATGGCGGATTTGCCACCAGAGCGACTTGAGGTATGTCCTCCTTTTACCTATGTTGGGGTGGATGTTTTCGGACCCTGGACTGTAACGGCAAGGCGCACACGAGGAGGGCATTCAGAGTCAAAACGATGGGCAATTATTCAGTTGTATGACTTCCAGAGCTGTTCACATTGAACTAATCGAATCTCTGGATACATCTAGCTGCATTAATGCGTTGAGACGATTTTTTGCATTGAGAGGACCAGCAAAACAACTCAGATCTGATTGTGGCACAAACTTTATTGGGGCTTGCAAAGAGCTACAGATGGACACAAGAATGCAGAAGTACCTCACAGATCAGGAATGTGTCTGGGAATTCAACCCGCCTCATGCTTCTCACATGGGGGGTTCTTGGGAGCGGATGATTGGCATGGCAAGGAGGATTTTGGATGCTATGCTGCTCCAGCAAAACATCTCCTTGACTCACGAAGTCCTATGTACTCTAATGTCAGAAGTTACTGCCATTATCAATGCCCGTCCCTTGATGGTTGTTTCTACGGATCCTGGAAATCCTTTCATCCTATCACCTGCGATGCTTGTGACTCAAAAGGTTGGAGTCCCACCACCTCCAGGAGATTTTCCTGATAAAGACTTGTTTACAAGGCAGTGGAGACAAGTACAAGCATTGGCAAATCAGTTTTGGACTCGCTGGAAACGAGAGTACCTGCCATCTTTACAACAACGTTCAAAATGGACAGTACCCAAAAGGAACTTAGAAATAGGAGACTTAGTTCTTCTCAAAGACAAGCAAGCTCCTCGCAACTGTTGGCCACTGGCAAGGATCACTGCCACATTCCCTGGACAAGATGGATATGTACGAAAGGTCGAGGTCACAACAGCAGAGCAAGGCAGACCAAGAACATATCTTCGACCTATCACAGAAGTTGTTTTGCTTCTGCCTAACGAATGATCTATGGACTAATGTTTGATGATCCGGCGGCATGGTGACCTCACAGAGGTCAGACGGGGAGTGTGCTGCTTTGACAGCATTTTTCTTTAATGTTTATGTATATTGTGTTTACGGACATTTTAAGTTACTTGTAACTGCAGCATATTCAAAGGCTTTTATTTTGAAGAATCCGGTTTGAGTAATTTCCGGTTGTTTTTCTTTGGGCTGCAGCAAGCATGGCTGAGTATTGTTGTGAGTTCAGCGTGTAATCCAGTGCCATCCACAAGAAATTACATTGAAGCAATGCTGTAAGTTACATTTTCTGTTAAGATGCATCTTACTTAAAATATATCTGATGTTATTTTGTTAAAATAACGTTAATTATTGTGATGGATGTTTTATCATCTATATAGTTTCCTCAACTGTAACTAAGATGTGTATTGTTTTGTACTCTTTTTGCCTGCAGTTTTCACCGCAGTTTGTGATGAAGGATGTCAACAGTAAATGGTCAAACTTACTTCACGACTTCATCTCGTCATTTTGCTGTGATTTAGCTCGGTGTTAACTCAGAGTTGCTACACTTTGACAAGAACACTACACCAATCAAATAAAAAAATATTGAAAACCAAAATAAATTCTAAAAAATTTATTTTATTGCAATCTTTCTCATCATGCCTAAATGCAACAAGACCAGTTGCAAAATTCTAAAATCTTCATACATTTCTCTTAACTTTTAGCTGAAATAAAGCGGTAGTTTGTATCAGAGGAACCATGAATGAATCTGACACATAAGATCATGATTCATGCATTCTATTTGCAGCAGCCTTTTGCGTCAAGATCAAAAAGTAATGTTCGTGTACAGTAGTTAGTCTGCTGTCAAAACTCTGCAAAGTGCAGAGTATTTCCTGGAGCACGTCTGAGCGAGCCGTCTCGCTGAGAGCAACTGCCATCCTGACTAAAAGATATTCATCGAGACTTTCTTTACAGTTTGGGACATGGGCTAAATGTTTTTTTATCAGGAATCTGGAAGATCAGCTCTCAAAGACGACTGAGTCATTGCTACACCTCACACAAATATCAATATCAATATTCTGGTCCACAGAATCTAAATTAACTTTCAAAAGATAAATTTTTTTTGGTTTGGCTTCAGTGGCCGGATTAGTCCTTACCATATCTTGTTTCAGGGACATTTAAATCCATGCAATTGAGGATTTTTCAGGGTGAAACTCATAAGAGTGAGGCTGTTACTTTCAAGGCTCATCTGAGAAAAGCATCTTCTGCTTAACAAGCCCAGTCAGTAAGAACATAAATCTAAAATAGTTTAAGAAGTTATTTAATACCTACTAAATGTAAATTCTTGGAAGTGAAAATGCTGAATGCATTGTGGTGAAACTAATTCATTCTATTTGTCCAAATTTCCTGTATTCAAATTTTTAACCCACTTATTTAATCATTTGTGAAGGCATTTATGAATAATTTTTACTGATGGAAAAAAAAAAAAAAATCACAACTGTTTGAATTACAGTTTAATCATCTTCTGACATAGTTCTGGGTCGTGTCCTGGGCGGTTTGATGGTCGTAGCCCAAATGGACGCCAAGACTTTCTCCTGGTGAGTTACGGCACTAAAGTCCATCCTCTTCAGGTGAGGCAACATCGAAATAACGTGACTCCTCAAACACAGTAGAAGGCACATACATTAGATTATTTGAAATCATTCATATGTCATTTCAACTCAATGAATGCTCTTTGACATCCATCCAGCCATTTTCTGTGCACCCCCTTGTGGGGTCGGGAGGGTGCTGGTGTCTATCTCCAGCGACTGTTTCGGGCAAGAAGTGGGGGTCACTCTGGACAGGTCGCCAGTCTGTCTCAGGGCAACACAGAGACAGACAAGAAAAACAACCATGCACACAATGGGGAGAACACAGACAGACCAATTAACCTAACAGTCATGTTTTTGGAGGAAGACGGAGTGCCCGGAGCGTGATGCACAGGGAGAACATGCAAACTCCATACTGAAAGACCCCGGACCGGGAATCGAACCCAGGTTCTGCAAGGCAACAGTGCTACCAACTGTGCCTCTGTGCAGCCACACTTTGAGATGAGATTCCTTATTTTATTCTCATTTTCTCACATTACTTAGTTAATATGGAAAAATAAAAGTGTTGAAGTGGTTCAGACAGGAGACCAACAGCTCAGGAAAGAAACTATATCTGGTTAAACATATAATTAATCACAATCCTTTCAGATATAATAAACGGATGATAAATCATCACATGTATTTTCTCAGCTGAGAAATGTTCCTGCACTAAGGGTTACAGAAATGTTTGAAAGCGTACAAATTAATTTCCTATAATCTTTTTTATGACATACTTGCTTATGGTTTCCTATTTTTTTTAGTATAAAAATTGATGTATGTCTGCAGATATATTTTCTGATGTGAATTTCTAGTGTTGTATGATTTTGTCGTATACAGTGCACCCCAGACAATCAATAGTTTCATATTCACGAACTCATAAATTCTTTTGTTGAGCGTAAACTCTGACTATTCACAGATTTTAGTTGTTTTCAGGTGGTTCCACAAGTGTGCTTTGTATCAGTAGCTTTTCTGCTAATTTTTGTTTCATTTACTTTCAAAGTTATTACTTTGTCTGTTAGTGTTTATGTATTTTACTGTGCTAAATAGTAAAGTCAGCCTAATTTAACTGAAATCATTTTCCTTACTCCAAGAAGTCTTTTGTCATAAGAAAACTGGACAGGCATTTCCCAAAAGAGAATAAAATAGCTTAAAGCAAGCAAGGAGTGGTAATTTTGGGAAAAAAAGGCCAAAACAATCTCTGTTCTCATTTACATTTTAATTAAAGAAATCTCAGGTTAGAAATTATTTTTACCATTCTCAGCAATGGTAGAAATTTGTGTTACAGCAATCCAACACTTCTTATAATTACCAACTTGCTTCTATTTATCCATGTTTCTACTGGCATTTTGACAATTTATGTTTAGCGTCGAGCTCCAAGTTACTGGGGTTGGAAGGTCGTCATAAGGTGTTATATGCTTGTACAATTAAAGTATTACTGTAAACCTAGATATACCTACAAGAACAACCACATATTCATAAAACTCAATTAAGAAGGTATGGTGAAACTGCCATACTTTCATCAACCTCTGAATGTTGAAGTAATCATTGTGGAATGGGTTGGTATTTACACTGTTGCAGTTACGATTGCATGGTAAAATTGAATCAAATTATATTGTTGTGGTAGTTAAGAAACTAGTTGATAGTTAAAGCAAATCACCTGTAGCCCTTAGCGTTTTCGATCACATTTCCATGAAGTGTGATGGTGTGCAGAAAATTCAACTCTCCTAGTTTGTGTACTTCACTCAGGCTCCAGATGTCATTGCCATGCAGATACAAAACACGCAGCTCCTTTAGGTCACATAGAACCTGGAATACACAAAGATGCACTGTTCAAAATGATAATTATTAAATTTAAAATGAAGAAACAGAAATAAGAATTGTTTTATTAAGTAGGTGTAGACTGAATTATGTATAGAAAATATTCAGTCAAAAGAGGTATACTTATTTAACCTGCAAAACTGACAATTTGCCTTAGCAAATAAGTATATGATGAAAAGTATTCAAACTAAATCTTACATGTTCAATGCTTGTTATTTTGTTGCAGGAGAGATCCAGCCAGCCAAGCAGTGATGGCTGAGCCAGAAAATGACTCAACATGAATTCAAGGCCAACGAGATTTGTGATGTTGTTGTTGTTCAGACGCATCGACTGGCTCAGGTACTTGCTCTCCGAGTCGATCTTTAAGGGGCGTAGGGTAGGGCGGGGAATCTCCGCCAGAGCATCTAAACCACAGTCAGTCAGTTAAGCGATCCAGGAATAGTTTTTCAGTTATCTTTATTCTTCTAAAAAGTTTTTGTAAGTTCCTTAATGAGATTTCAAGAATATGATTTATACATTCAAATCAGTAAACGGGCAGTATCATGTACAGTCAACCTCTTTGAGGTTTACAACATTTTATTCCCTCATCAAAAACATATCTTGAGTATTTAGTTGATTTGTTTTTGAGAAATCTTTGAATCTCCCATAACAACCATTCAGCTGTGTTAAACACTTTGCGGGATCGAACAGAGCCTTTACTGGCGAAGCTCCTTCATGGAGATGAAGTTCTTAAGCTTTTGCATTACAGAGCAACCCTCTCCCAAAACTCCGCCACTCAGCTCCTTCAGACTAGCCAGCAGCAATTAGGAAACATGTGGTGGAACTGAGCATTTGCTGAGCTCAGTTTACGAGCTACTTCTCAGTGAAACGCTGGTAAAATTATTGTTTAAGGTTGAAAAAGGAGCCATGTTGTGAAAACTTCCTGTAGGCAGAGTGTCAGAAGGAACAAAAGTTTCTTAAAGAGACAGAGGCCCAATTACAAAATTATGAAAGAAAATTTCTTTCAAGTCAGATGCATATTCATATACGGCATTTTTATAACACCTGGATGTGACATAGTGATGTGATTGTGCTACACAATGATACTAAGTGGCTGGAAAACACATGATACTGCCCTTTAAAGCAAACAGACCATTAAAGTTTCTCAAGGTAAAGAAAAAGTAGAGAAATGTACCTGTGACATTGTTGAGTTCTTTGAAAGACAGATCTACTGGAGGACCATACATGTTAAGTCCTGAATGTTCTCAAGTGCTTAGCATGAAGTTTGACATAAACAAACTGGCAAAGAATTCTCAACATTCAAAAGTAAATATATTAATTAAAAATCTGTTTCCAAGAGAGAGAGAGAGGGAGAGAGATTATTCCATCAACATTGACAGTATCCTGGCTGTGGTCTATCAGATCTACAAAACCCAACTGATGAAGGGATTTTTTTTTATTTATTTATTTTTTTGCGGCGCATGGCCTGTCTATTTTTTGCCGATACCATGTTGCGGCTCACCTCCACCTGCTTTCTAAACTGTGTCTGACTTCATCAGTGTCATGTCTGCTGTCAATGACACGGCTCTGTTCTGTACTCTGAGGTCACCGTTGCCTCAGGCGCTCCACTGCTGCAGATGGAAGGGCAGGAAGGTCCCAGAACAGAGAAACCTTACCAGAGATGAACTACTATAAATTGCAACTAAAATTTTCATGTGGTTAT